AGTAGGTACACAAAGTGATAATAATGGATGCCAGCAAATGCAAGATTTTCCTAGCAGTCATTCAGAAAGCAATGATGAGAACATTATCAAAAGTGGCATATTTTCTCCAAAGAGCTCGAAATGCTTTCACGTTGTTTTCCAAATAGGTTACACTGTTATCTGCACTCTGTCAATGATTCTTCTGTGTTAAAGTGTGGTTCTTCCTCTTATCATTACCAGCTTTCACAGATTTTATGGCTTGTGATGCCTGCTCACACTGTTCTTAACGACCACGCTTTGCTTATTGACACCAGGAGGGTGACTACCATCTGTACCAACACTACCAGAACTGCACAGACATCTTCATTTTACATTCTGTTGTGCTAGTGTGTGAGTGGGGGTGGAGGGGAACAAGTACAAAGCAGATAAATAATAGTGAGAAACTTTGAGAGGTAAAGAAGGGGTTTCTGTTAAATGGTGGGAGTAGGTTAGAAGATACATTTTTGCTCAGTTATTCACACACCTTGGAGCCCATCTCTTCTGGGTCATTACAAGGCAGTCCACAAGTCCCACTCGGAGAGAATCTACATCCTAGTCATAGAGCGAGATGAGGAATGGGTAACAAGATATTACCACGTCACAATCTAGGTGAAGAGTATTTGGGTGGCTCGCTGTTCTTTCAGTTTTTCGGTGGGTTTGATTTTTTTTTTTTTAAAACAAAAAAATAAAATTTTAAAAAGCATCATAAAATTAAAAATAACAACTGGAAAAACATTTGCAGCCGATATGATATAAAAATTAATAATAGTCTTAAATACAAAGAGCTCTTGACAACAAAAAATACTTGACATAGACAAAAGGACATCAACCGAGAAATGCAAACAGCCAGTATATACGTGAAAAATATTAAACCAGGAAAATGCACATTAAACAATATATTACTACTACTTTTTCTTTACAACTGGCAAAACAGATCACTTAACTACCCTAATACTTAGTGCTCATGAGCGGGCAGCAGGATGGCCATACTTTTCTATTACTGGTGGAGGCATAAAGTTCTTAAAGGCAATTTTTTCAAAATATGTGAAATTTTTTAAATTATTATTTTAATTTAGTAGTTATACTTTTAGGAATTTATCCTAGGAAATAAGGAGCCATACAGGAATCTCTGTATAAGTTTATTTATTTTAGTGTTATATCTAATAACAATAAATTTTGAAAATACCTTAAATGTTAACAGTAAAATAATGATTAAATCTATAATATATATGTGTATTATATATCTACTAAAGTAAATATTGTCCAATAAGTTTTAATGACCTAGAAAAACTCTCACAGTATATGTTGAGGGAAGGGAAAGCAGGATACAACATTATATCTCAATGCAAATTCACTTATAAAAACATAATTCATGGAAGGAAAAGGCTTTATAGGAAATATACTAAGAGTGGGAAGGGTCTGGGCAGAGGGGAGGAAAGGGGGGAAATGGGAGACATATGTAATACTGTCATATATATATATATATCTAATAATAGGATAATATGCAAATTGGTCGAGACACTATCATGTAATGACGGATAAGTAGGCTGCGTCCCCGCTCCCTGCACTGGCCTGGAGACATGAGGCTTGCGTCCCCACCCCCCGCAATGGGCCCTGGGATGTGAGGCTCATGTCCCTGCCCCCCTGCACTGGCCTGGGGGTACGCAGGCGCGTGGGGATCCACAGGTGTGCGGAGGTTCACAGGCCTTCACCATGGCCTGGCCCAGGGGCCCACAGGCCTCCCCCGGCTCTGGCCTACCTCTTTTGGGCAATTCATCAAGGAGCCCTGGATGGGTGGGTGCGGCCTACCTCTTTGGGGTGATGGATCATGGGGCTCCCGCACTGTGATGGGGCATAGGCCAGGCCGGGGGACACGCCCCCCCAAGTGCACAAATTTTGTGCACCGGTTTCTCCAGAATTCCCAGGGGATGCTGCTGCTGCCGGTGGTTCCGCGGGCCACACTGGGCCAGACAAGAGTCTACTAGCCCAAGCATGTGAAACTCAGAGGCTAACACGGGACAAATAAGGGCAAATTAAGTTTATGTGGGCTGCAAAAAAACCCCAAAAGCCTCAATTTTCATAGAAACGTAGGATTATTTCAAAAAGTATAGTGTGTGTGTATATATATATATATATATATATATATATATCAAGTTTCATTTCTAGGAAGATGATGTAGACATACCCTATTCCTTCTTGTAAGTTCAGCTAAAATCCCTGGGCATTATATATATAACAAAGTTAAGAAGACTTTGAAGGATGGAGAGGAGGTACACCAGTTAGGAACCTTGGGACACAAGGAAGAACATGGTGGTGAGGTCCCTGGGTTTTCTTTTTGCTTCATATATCCCATAACTGACCTGTATCATTTTCCTTTCTCTAAATGATTTCTTTTAACATTTCTTGCAAGACAGGTCTCAGTTTTTGTTCATCTGAGAGCATCATTATTTCCCCTTCATTTTTGAAGGATAATTTCACTGGAGACAGAATTCCAGGTTAGTGGGTTTTTTCTTCCCATCCTTCTAGTCTCTTCTTGCTGGCATGGTTTATTAAGAGAAGTTCAATGTAATTCTCATCCTTGTTCTTCTATAGGTAAGTTAGATCTAATTTTCCCACAGTTCCTGGATATTCTGTTCTGTTTGTTCAGTCCTTTTTCTCCTTGCATATCAGTTTTGGAATTTATATTGACATTTCTTCAAGCTCACTGATTCATTCTTTGGTTGTATCCTTGATAATCCTATCAAAGGCAATCTTTATTTCTTAGAGTGTTTTTTATTTCTAGCATTTCCTTTTGGCTCTTAGAGTTTTTATCTCTCTGCTTACATTACCCATCTGTTCTTGCAAGTTGTCCACTTTTCCTATTAGAGCTCTTAGCATCTTAATCTTGGTTATTTTAAATTCCAAAACCTATGTTATATTTGGGTCTGATGCTTGCTTTGTCTCTTCAGATTTTTTTTAAAAAAGTTGATTTCAGAGAGAGGGAGGAAAGAGAGAAAAGGAGAGAGAGAGAGAGAGAGAGAGAGAGAGAGAGAGAGAGAGAGAGAGGAATTGATCACTTCCACATGCACCCCAAGGGGGGAATGAACCCACAACTCAGACATGTGTCCTGACCAGGAATCAAACCCACTGCCTTCTAGTGTACATGATGACACTCCAACCAACCAAGCCACACCAGCAAGAGCCAAACATTTTTTCTTGCCTTGTCATTTTTTTGTTGATGTATGAGGTAATAGGAAAAGAGATAAATAGGCCTTCATGTGTTCACTGTCTGCTGTAGCTGTAGGTGTCTGAGGCTTCCATGTCCTTCACTATCCGTTGGTCTTCCCTGTTGTCTTTGGGTTTCCCTAGAAACTCCTTCCTAAATGGAGTCTGCGCCTTGCATCGTCCTCCATAGATACAGTGTGTGCTGGAGGGAAGCGTTTGATAATTCTGTGAATTGGTCGCAGTCTGTTAGTAGATCTACGTCCCTGGATTGTTACCCTCACAAGTTTTTCTCAGCATTTTACTCCTTATTTGAGACAGGAAGACTGAGGAGGTTGGAGTTAGCTAACTGCCCTTCCTCAGGTCAGATAAGGCTTCGGTAAAATAGTTTTCCTTGAGAGCTTGCCCTTATTACAGAGAGCAGAACAAAGAACAGAATTCTCTGGGAGTATTTGGAAATGGTTTATTTTCCCTTCTCTCTGCTGGTAGCAGGAGGGGATTTTTCTCTGTTGTTTACCATGAGACCAAGTGGGGCTCCTGGAGGTAAAAGTCATGAAGGTAGGGCCCTCCCTAAGACCTGGCCCCTTGGAGTTTTTAACTTTTCAAGCTAATTCATAGAGCCTCCAGGGATCTGTCAGTTGGAGTTAAAGTGCTCTTGCCAGTACCAGCTTCAGCAGCAGGCTTCCACTCCTGGTCTTTCTCCAGCTCTCTCTAGTGTGCTGGGCAGCAGCAGTTCTCTCTATGATCTAAATTCTCTGATGGACCCAAGATGAGTTGTTTTTTTGATTTGTTCACCTTTTCTTCTTGTTGTACAGTTGGGAGTCTTAACATCTAAGCTCTATACCTGTTGGGGTGAAACCAGAAGTCCATAAATTACTTTCTTTTTTTAAAATATATTTTATTGATTTTTTACAGAGAGGAAGGGAGAGGGATAGAGAGTTAGAAAGATCAATGAGAGAGAAACATCTATCAGCTGCCTCCTGCACACTCCCTACTGGGGATGTGCCCACAACCAAGGTATATGCCCTTGACCAGAATCGAACCTGGGACCCTTGAGTCCGTAGGCTGACGCTCTATCCACTGAGCCAAACCGGTTAGGGCCATAAATTACTTTCTAATGATAATTTGGCACAAGTGGATATCATAGTAGAATCAAGAGATTGAGATTTATTGATCTTAATTATGTTGACCATTTTAAAGAACTGCTTTTAAATTAAAAACGTTAAGACATACATATACTCATTCTTACAAAGCTATTTTGTTTTACATTGGTCTTTCATGGAACTGCCCACTGCTTAATAAGAAGAATATGTAACTATTTGATTTTTAAATCTTTGTAATTACATAATAGAGGTTTAAAGAATATAAGTATGAACTGCTTTGGGGACCAGCATTTTAGATATATTTAACATTGGCTACCCTGTGATTTGATGTTATTAAACAAAGTACAGCATATTGTGTTTTTCTTTACCAAGAAATGCTTTATAGTTCAGTAATTATGTCATTTGTGCATCATATAAACTCAGCCAGACATAGAGATTTATATTCATGCTATAATGGTCTTTATCAGACTTGGAAGTTCATATGCTTAATAAACAACTTCAGTTTTATGCTGATAAAAATGCTAAAAATTGGTCTAATTTATTATAATTACCAATAGAATATTTCCTGTAAATCTAATTGATATTCTGTTCTCAAATCTATGATGCATTGTTTTAAAATTATAATTTGTGAAGCTTTTAAGATAGCAAATTTGATTTGAAATTATTATTTTTCTTTAGGTTGATTCCAACTGTAATTGATCAGAAATTATTTATTTTCCCTTTGGAATCTGAGGGTAAACTTTGGCCGCCCCAACGACAGTGTGTATTTCCACATGCCTTTCCAAGAACAAAGGTAGGAATCGAGAAATCTATAGAAACAGAGTAATTAGTGGTTTGCTAGAGGCTGGGAGGAAGGGTAAAGGGGAGTGACTCTAATGAGTACCAAGTTTCTTTGAGGATGATAAAAAATGTTCTGGAATTCGATAGTGGTGACAGCTGCACAACTCTGTGTCTGTACTAAACACTGTCCAGTTGTACTCTTTAAAAAGGAGATTTTAAAGTATACGAATTATATCTCAATAAGGCGGTTAGAAAAAAAGTGAAGAGTAAAGTTGGGAAATTTGATTTGTGTCTAAATGAGAAAACATGTCATTGTTTTTTCAGATATATTCATGGTATGGTCAGTTTCTCTGACAAGTGCTTTCTTCAGAAAGCAAAATAAATCAGAACAGAATGCCTTCAAATTGTTAAACAGAGTCCTAGAAAGAAAGTTTCCAGGTGGCAAGAATAAAGCTTAAGAGGTGTCTGACTTTGCTTCCTAGGGGGTGGTCTTTTAAATTTTCTCCTGTTCCCTCCCTGACTCACCAAAGGTAATAATAGCTCCCTTCCCTTCAGTACCAGGTACTGTTGTCAGTGCTTTGGGAATACTAACTCGTTTAACCTTCAGAATGGACCTAGGATGAGGTGTTGTTATCATTACCTTCATTTTATTGATGAAGAAACCAAGGTTCAGAATGTTAAAGAAATTGCACCCTCTTGCAATCTGGGACCCCTCGGGGGATGTCAGAGAGCCGGTTTCAGCCCAATCCCTGCAGGCCAGGCCAAGGGACCCACTGGTGCACAAATCCATGCACCGGGTCTCTAGTGTGCATATAAGATCTTTGGTTAATTTCTTCCTGCCCTCCTCCCTTCCCATGAGATTCATCAGTCTGCTCCATGTTTCTATGCCTGTGCATTGAGCATCTGCCCCCTGGTGGTCATTGTGCATCATACCTACCAGCTGGTCGGCTGATCAACCTGTCACTTAGGCTTTTATATATATAGATAGATAGATAATTTATATACTATAAAATTCACCCTTTTAAAAAGTATTTAATTCAGTCATTTTTAGTATATACACAAAATTGTACAGTCAACACATGGTATCCTTTTTATAATTGTTTATATTAACCTGTATTTTTCTTTCATCACACCACAATTTGTAATTAGATATTAAGTTGTATGGTTTTTTAAAATGTCTGTCTTTCCACTAGATTATAAGGAGAGCAGGATCCATGTCAGTTTGTTCATTGCTCTATAATTTTAGGGGACTCTTGATAAATGTTTGTTGAATAAATAAATAAATGAAACCACCCCAGTAGGGTCTAAGGGTGTAGTCATCCCCATAAAATACTAGACCAGGCTACACTCCCAAAGCAGCCTACTCCCACCTTTGTCATTGTACTGGGTTTGTCCAGCCACTCCCTGTGGTGTATGTACACTGTGCCAAGGACTGTTAGAGCCACACGGGGATGAAGAGCTTGGGCTAGATCCTTACTTTCACAGAGCTTGCTCTAGTTGGGAAGGGGGGCGGGGGGGAAGACAGCACATTGATAAGAAAATACCAGGTAAGAATAAAGGCTTTGATGAAAAGAGAATGCTGTGATAAATGGAGCTTAAACTTCTTTACTATTAAGTATCTGCTTCAGTTAAATTTGCATTTTTATTTTTATTTTTTTTTTGCCAAGAATCTCAGGAGGACCACAGTTGGTCCACAAATGGAAGATTTGAGATCTCTGGTTTACAAAGATAGTAAAGTAAAATATCTGAAATTAGGACTGTTGTTGAATGTATAATCGCTTGATTCTTCCAGAAGAAAAAAAAAATACCATGGCCAGAAATTTACTTTCCTGAAAGAGTTCTGAATCCTGATAAAGATAAGGAACCTAATGTGCTGAGTATAACCCCAGGTCCTTTGAAATGCTGTGAGCATGGGTGAGCTCCATTTAGAAAGGGGCAAAGACTGGTTTCCCATCCCGATTTTACCTCTAGCGCCTGGATCCCTACTGCTGTTTTATCTCTAATATCAATGACATCTGCTTAAAAATGCATAACCGCCCACACGAAGCATAGCCCTGATCTTGCATTGCAAAGTCGATGACAAACAGTGCTGTTTTGCCAGCTGCTCCAGCAGGCCTACTGCACCAACTCAAAAGCTTGAAGTATTAAGCAGTTGTGAAATCCGACTGGGATATTATTACCTTTAATTACCCGCAGCCAACCTTTCAAACTAGGTAAACCCCAGTTGCTTCTTTAAGCTCTGGTTCTCCAAAGTTGATAGCAGTTTTTGGAATTCCATTTTACACCAACACACTTAAAGGAAAAACAATTAGGAATTGCTCCATTGTAATAAAGCATCATAATTAAGAATTGTTTATTAATTTTCTTTTATACTTGAAAAAGCCGTATTCTGATGGCTTGTGTAATTTAGCTCCCTATCAACACCAGCCTAAACCCTCTGTGGGCACCTTGGGCACATGTACTCCTAACAGTCAAGGAAAGGGTTTGAAATAAAAACAAAAGATAAAGAAGAAGGAGGGAGAGAAGGAGAAAGGCTTAGAGGCCAAGAAAGTATTTGCTTTCCTTGTTGTGTCTGGCAAGTTAAGTCTGAAGGCAATTTGAAAATAGAAATTTCTAAACTGTTTAGATCAGAGGACCAGCTTGGAAACATGATATACTTGATATATTTGTGGAGCAGGGAAATAAAGCCATCTCACTGCTTGAGTTATTCTCTATATTAATTCCTAAAATGGGTGCTTTATCAATGAAACACACAAAAACTGTGTGATTGAATATGATGCAGCCATGTGCAACACCTGTGTCTTAGATGGAAGAATCTTTAATTTTGTGAATTGGGATCTAATTGAGAAAGTGATTTTCAAAATCTGATCAAAACGAAAGTTTTGAGGTTTATCTGACATGATCCTGTTAGAAATAAGGCGAGCCCCCAAGTTCAGAGGCCCTGGTAGAACACAAACCAGACTCGGGAGCCAGGCAGCAGGCAAACATCTTTACTTCTATGTAGAAGGGTGCGCACACATGGTCTGGAAGCCGCATACATACCTAGCAGGCGGGCTGCTTGGCTTTATAATCCCTGACTTGTGTGACTTGTCCCTCGCTCTTGATTGGAGCTCAGGCTCATGGTCTTTCCCGATTGGCTAATTCAAAGGGAGGGGCTGGCCTTTGCTGTTTCAAGACGGCGGCCCCCAAGAAGCTGCAGTGATGTGGCCAACATGGCAGCTGCCAAGTCATGCAGCCCCAAATGACGGCTGTCTAAACTGTTCTTTGACAGAAAAGATGATTTGTTTATTCTCACAATCCACATGGTGAGAGAGCAAAGAAGGCAAAAGCCGGGGCAGTAAGGGTTGCTTCAGAGGTTTTCCCTGTGAGTTCATGTCACTCAGCATCAGGGTGGATAAGTTTGCTGATGAGCAGGAGTTGGATTTTACAGAATGGAGTGGGGAGAAGGGAAGGCCTGCAATGAGCTGGCCACTGTGAGCTCTGTCTTCTCATTAGAATGTAAGCTCCATATCCGTGTCCCCCCTCCACCCCCTACCCCCCGCTTTTTTATGGCTTAAAAAAAAACCCTTTTTATTATGAAAATATTCCAACAAACCAAGAATAGTGTATTAATAACCATTTCTCCTTCACCTAGATTTAACAGTTGTTAACCTATTTTTTATTGAAGTGTTTTAAAATATGGACCTAATGACAATTTCACCCCTAATGCTTTAACATGCATCTCTAAAAATGAGCATACTCCTGCTTACCCACAATACCATTATCACATCTAAAATATATAAGAAATCCCTAGGTCATATTCAGATTTCCTCAATTATCTCCCAAATGGCTTCTACTGCTCTTTTTATGCAAACCCAGAACTGCTAAGATTTTCCTTGCATTTGATTATTTTATTTCTTAAGTCTCTATTAATCTAAAGCAGAGAGACTGTGTTTTGTTCACTGCAATACCCAGTGCCTAAATAGTGTCCGTCCTGGAATAGGATTGCAGTAAATGAAAACATAATGGTTAAAAGTATAGATTCACATCCTATACCTTAGCAAGTCACCTAACCCCCCTGTGCCTTAATTTCTTGCCCATAAAATAAGCATAATAATAGTACTTATCGACCTCATAGGGTTGCATAAGGATAAATAAATTCACATATGTAAATGCTTATCACAGTGCCCCACACATGGTGCTCTATAAGTGATAATTATTCTTATTATTTGTTGACGGATACTGGTTAAGCTCTATTAGGTGCCTAATATGTGGCAGGCACAATTTTAGGCATCAGCCAAACTCCTCTGCTCTCATGCAGCTGACATTCTAGGTGGTGTGGGGTAGGCATTAGGAAAACCAAAAAATGACTTGAAAAGTAAATATATAGTACGTTGGTTTGTGAAAGAAAAGCTGGGAGGGGGCGGGAAGGGTGCTGGAATGATCTCGCTTGTACGCGGATCCTTGAACAGAAATTTGATAGACATGAGGGGCAAGCCATTGGCCATTTGGAGGAAGAGCATTCCGGGCAGAGGAAACAGAAGATGCAAAGGCCCTGGATTAGGAGTGTGAACAGCAGGGAAGCTGAAGAGGGATGGGCAAGGGGGAGAGAAGCAGGAACAGAAGGGGGCCAGATCTTATGGACCACCGTGAGGACTAGTATGGGTATTTCCTTGAGTGAGATGGGAAGCCGTTGGAGGACCAGAGGGCCGACATGGTCTGATTTGCAATTTTAAAGGGTCATTCTGGGTGTCGTGGTGAGAATATGATGATGTAACAGGCAAGGGAAGAAGCAGGGAGACCATATCACACCCTCAACAACATTTTGAGGGAAGGAATTATTGGAATCCTCACTTTAAAGATGAGGAAACTGAGGTCTGTGGATGATAGTAATTTAAAGCTAAGGAATAGGAGTACTGGGATTCAAATTCAGGTCTCTCTGGCCCCAGAGTCCTGGCTTTTCCTCACCACTGGAAAAAAAAATACAAAACTCGAGCTGTTTTCCTGTGTTTGCCACAAAGAAATTTACAATTG